AAATTCCCCCCCCCCCCCCCCCGGATGTCAAAGTTACCTCTTCAGTTGCTGGAGAACATCCTGGTACCTATGCATGTCTTTATGGTGTTTAGATGGTTTACAAGACAATTGCAGCCAGTTTTTGCCGTATAACGAAAATAAATGTACTTTGCCTGTCTTTACTTTCTGTATTCCAGTTTAAAGATTGCAAATCATGTAATCTAGTTTCAAATAAGCTGATGATATTATAGTCACCAAGTTCTTATTCTGTGTATCCTTTGTTTGGAATTTCTCATCTGCAGATGATGTTTGTTTGCCATTTTCTTAGATTGTGTCGTTTTCTGTGGTTACATCATACTACTCATCAACAATTTGAACGATAAACTTACAAATAAAGTACAGTGCGAAATAGAGCTATTAAGTATAGTAAAGGATAAAATAGAATTATTAAAAAGTACACAGACAAAATGGGGGAAAAGAAAGCAAATGACATGATTACATCAAATTGATCATTACAAAAAATGGTACTTTATTGTTATATAACATTATATTCAAAATGACATGATTACATCAAATTGATCATTACAACTCTATTGTTACATAACATTATATTCAAACTAACAATAATACAATGCAATAGATAACAACCATCCAAACAAATTGTAAACAATCTCCAACCATCACTTTGCTTGCATAATAAAATCCTTAAAATCATGCAAATTAGCAATTGAACCAACTGGAAAATTAGCATTTCTAAATTTGTCACTTAATTCTTCAACTCTATCATGAACTTGTTTATCCTCCATTAATCTCTTAATCCCTTGTATAATCTCATCCTTCTTAACCTTTTTCAACCCAATATTTTCTCTAATTGATGATACCATATAACCAATCTTGAGATGACACACAATAGATTTTGCATTATAAAAATTATCACCTCTAATTGGCCATGCCAATAAAGGTACCCCTTGTCCAATCGCTTCCATAGTCGAATTCCATCCACAGTGAAACAAACATCCGCCAGTGGACGGATGACTTAAAATCAACAATTGTGGGGCCCATCCATGTATAACCAAACCTCTATTTCCAACTTTATTTTCCAAGTCATTAGGATAATAATCTTGATTCTTGGAAATTACCCATATGAAATTTTGACTTGATAGCTCTACTAGTGCCTTTGAAATTTCTTCATGTTCTTGTAAAGTTGGTAAAAGTTCACTACCAAAAGAGATGTAAATTACTGAATTTGATGATTTTGTGTTTAGCCAATTGAGTACTTCATCTTCTGAATAATTTGATTTTTGACTTGAATTATTAATTGTTCTAATGTCTTTGTCATGGATTAGGGATTTAGTGGATGTAAGTGACCAAAATTTTTCTGGTAGAAGGCCAATTCCATAAATTGGAAGTCTTGTTTGTTTGGCTAAATATTCCAAGAATGTGTGTTCTAGTACATCATATGTGTTCACAAGAATGGCACTTGTAACCTTTACCTGTTAGAATCCAACAAAGAAGGAATATGAAGACATAATTGTGAATGCAGAAACACATCTAAATTATGGTGAAATTATCGATTATACATTTTTAAAACCACTATTAAAAAGTCATTATTTTTCCACCGAGTTTTTACTGAAAAATGTAAAGTGGTTGTTCCTACAAATGTTTTGATTGAAATGGTGAGAAAAGAAAAATTAGTACTCCTTCTGTTTTAAAAAAACGAAGATATACTTTTTTTTAAAATCTGTGAAAAAAAGAATTGACCTTTTTCTTGTTTTGGAAATATTTTAATTTCAATCAGGTGACATGTTTAAAGCCACAAGATTAAAGAATATTTTGGTACATTTGACATAACTTTAATCTAGAACCATAAGATTAGAAAGTCTTCTTTATTTTTTAAACTCCATGTCAAATCAAACTAGCTAGATCATTCTTTTTTAAACGGAGGAAGTAATGTTTTCGTACGGAAAAATTAGGAAATTTCTTACTATTTCGATGAGAATGTGTTTTTCACCATGTGTTTTCTCAGTGAGCTGATTCTATAGAAAATGAGTGAGAAAATCATGTTCTACACCACATAAAGAAAAATATATTACTTAAATTAATATTAATTACCTCTTGGACCCAAACTGGCTCATCACCAGGTTGTGTTGGAAAAGATTTCTTCTTTGTACCAATTAATGGTTCCTCTGATGAGTTATAGTATCTCCTTACTATATCACCATAATCCATGCCCATTTCATCGGGTAAACCCGGAAGAAACCGGGTTTCACCTGATAGGCGGATAACAAAAATTATTAGTTACATAATATTTATTTATTTTTATGCGAAATATAAATATATCGTATGTAGTTATTTCAGTATATATACAGATATTACCTTAATAATTACTTCGTGGAGATAAAGATGTTTTTGAAAAGCCTTCAACTCAAGTAACATATATAGAGGTAAAACAAGACATAACAAATAATAGAGAAAGCGTAGTATACCATACAGACTAAAATAATGTGATAGGTAGTAGGCTCCAATTTCCAAAGGCAGACTCACCCCTCTAAGTGGGTGTGCACGTGTACCCGTTAACTTTGAAAAAAAATCATATATATATATATATATCTTGAAAAACTAACAAAAATTAGGATATAATTAACAGTGCACCCATGAAAAGAATAGGAGTGCCATTGTGCTACTAGTACAAAATAATGTTAATACTATCTACCTATCAAGCCTACCCCATAGGAGAGCGAGACAACATTGAACTATTTTCTAACTTTCTATCCTAACTCGTGACTCAATAAATAATAGATCATGTAATTAGGATTTGACTATTAAAAATTAGATTCATCGATAAAATTTAAATTCTGAATGCGCTAACCTTGTTTGATGAACTCTACATCAGCTTTCCAAGCAGCATAATCCATAGCAAGTGAAGCAGCACTAAAAGGGGAAAAAGCCACAATAGGCACATGAAATTTGGTAAAAACATCTCCAAAATATGGCAAAATCATTATATCAACTATAGCACAAACAATTTCCAACTTATTATTTTTAGTCACATTATTATTATTTTTACAATAAGATGTTAAAATTGATTCTACACCTTGTCTCATTTGCTTGTAATGCATCATAATAGGTTGCGGGTCGAATTTAATTTCGGGGCGGGGAGGGGGCGGTATTGGGGCATCAACATCCGTTACGTTAACTAATGGATGGTGCGCTAGGGAAGAGGAAATGGAGGAGGAGATATCGGACGATAGAATAAATGTAGTTTTGAAATTAAAAGAAGAGAATTTTTTGCAAAGTTCAGTTAAGGGCAAGACATGGCCTTGCCCAAAAAATGGGACTACTAAAATCTCTCCAATAGCATTCTCCATGTTGTTTATGAAATTTGATTAGTTTTTTCGTATTTATTCTTAAGAGAAAAATCTCGAATTTTCTTCGGTGAGTAACGATGTGATGACACGTATAAGATTACGTGTCGAAAAGTAGGAAACAAGTGTCACTTGCTAGGTGTAAAGATTTCATGCATGCAAATTCCACTTGTATTATATTGTATTTTCTAGTGCTGTAACGCATGCATTCTGGCACAAACTTCTTGGCAAGGATGAAGTAAGCCCAGTGTCTTGTTTTATGAGATTTGTGCCACGAATTATTGATAGTCTTAAAAATATTTTTATACTTGATTGAGAAACTTAGATATATTCGATCTGTCTCACACGATATAGAAAGTGGTTTCAAATAAGTTCAGTTAGTCAAGTAAATAGGTGTTTTTAAAGTTGTTAATAATTAAGGGATGAAACTAATAATTCGCACCGAGTTTAGGGGTGTATTTCAACAATTCTCTCAATTTTTTTTGTTTTAATTTGAGTGTCTTGTTTTGATTTGATACTGAATTTAAGAAAGTATTCAAGACTTTTGAAGATATGTAGAATATTGCCTAAAAGATCGTTTAATCTAATAGTCATAATCACGTCGACTGTCATGAAAAATTAGAATTAAAGAGTTGTCAAAAAAGAAAAAAAACATTCTTTGAAACTAACAAATTGAAACAGAGAGAGCATTATATTTGTAATGTACTACTATATTATTTTGACGAATACAATATTAATTTGGATAGATTGTATCGTTTTCTATCATTACATACACACTACTAAAAATCCGAGAAGTATTATTAGCAGAATAGATGGATAAAAGGTATATTGAGACTTTTTGCGATAGTTCAGAAGCAATTTTATCTCTTTTCCGTATAATTCAAATTCAAAACTTTCATTCAAACAATGTTTAGCAAACTAAAATAAATCAAAGCATGTTAACAACATTGGAATATAGTAGCAACCTAATAACTGCAACTGTAAATACTCTTTTTTCTTCTACCTATGCTTCCTACCATCTGTGGGAAGGCAAAAACAAAGGCCAATGCTATAAAGTGTACAATGTACATTGACCCTTCTGGGATAGAAAAACATTGTGCTCCTCAACATGTTGCTTAATCCTTTGAACCTGCAAGAAATCGATACACGACACGTGAGAAGGATACATGTATGTTTACGCGAATTCATTTATGGTATATATTGGATATGAGTGTGTGCAAGTATCCGTAAGAGGTACTCAATACTGGCAATGTCATGGTTGCAAAACAGTTATATCCCAAATAAACAAGTTAAGGTGACAGTTATAAATGACAGTAACACAGACTACAGAGATGATAACGCGTTATATATTCGTGTGAAAGCAAATGAAAGTATCAGTAAAGGGGACATTGGCAATAGAGAATATGGAAACAAGAACATTCAAGTTTCTATTATGTGGGCCTTTTCTTAGTTTTATGGGAACAAATGATTGCAGATAGAGTACCGGCTTCGATATTCAAGAACATTTAACAGTTTAACACAGCTTCAAGATAAGACTATAACACAGTTTCAGTGAACCAGAAGGAAACAGTAATCATGTTCAACGATCCCCGAACAAGTCTTGATGAAAACAGTAACATGTTCAATAGGACTTCCTTGTTCCCTATGATTGAAGGGATTCTAAGAAGTCTACAAAAACATCGATATCACACACACACACAACACTCTTTACTTCTTCCCACTTTTATCACCAAAATGTCATCTACAATTGATTTTGTGCTCCACGAAAAACGAATATAATTGGTGAGTACTTCTTCAATCACAGTAACATAATACAGTCGGGAGATGGTCAATGTTGGAAAAAGTGGTTGATATGATTGTAAAATGAAAAACCAATTTTAGTTGCAACTTGCACACCAATCCGAACCAATAACCATATCAACTAAGGGTAGATCAAGTTCCTTTCCTGTCAGCAATCACATTTAATCCCATCTTCGTACCAAAGAGCAGCTTGGAACTTAATAATTGGTGTTCTATCAGCAAACTTATCTCCATTAGTCTGCAGGAATAGATTTGACAGGGACTAACATGTAGAACATCGTAGCATGAAAAGTTTAATCATGGTTAAACTGCAATACAGTACTACTTCCATTTGTGAGCACTCTGTAGCATACCTTTGCAAGGATGGAGTAAGCCATTGATGCCTTGTTTCAGATGATCCATGCATTGATCGGGAAAGGACACTTTGATCGGCATTTCAGATGAATCTACCACCTTCCCTACTGATTCTTTGACCCTTATGCTTGAAAAAGTCTGAATCACTCTTTCTTGGAAGCCAGCAATATTTGAATCGAGGTAACACCGACTGTCTTCCACAATGTTTCTCATGCTTTGTATCTCAGTGGATCGAGACATCTCAATAGCACCACTTCTGGCAGCTGTGAATGCTACGAAAGGATATACGGGTAAATTAATAAATCAACTTCAACAGTAGTTTCAAATCTCAGACAGTTGGCAATATTCATCAAATATAAACGAAAAGTAACAGAAATATAAAATGTCCAAATTCATTAAGAAGCTGAATATGAAAAGTTGGTTATTTTTACCATTGTAAGGACCTGTGTAAATATAATTGGCAGGTAGACCAATGCCAACGCCGAGCAGAGAGAAGCCAACGCTGAATCCAACACCACATCCAGCTCCAACATAACCAATAGCCTCAGGACCAAATCCAGGACCCCATCCCACCCCACAGCCAATGCCTATTCCCATGCCCCAGAAGGCTCCATATGTAGGATGCACTGGATTCCATCTTTCGTATCTCCTGAACAGACCCTTTATAATCATTTCTACCTACAATCACAAGCCCATAAGTCTATCAAATTCTGTTGAGAGATACCCTAAGATTACCAAAATTGAAATGTTAAGTCTGGAGGGCAAATTTTAACTCCTTTTGGAAAGTGTCCTCTCAAAGCTTTCTAACAGTCTAGTCTGGAAGGCAAATTTTACTTCCACGGGGGTTCTGTGTCTTACTCCCTCCATCCCAATTTATGTTGTTGTGTTTGATATGACACACAGTTTACGAAAGAAAAGAAAGACTTCTAAAACTTGTGGTCTAAAACAAGACATAGACGTGACTATAAATCATCACATTAAGGGTGAAATGAGAAGTTCAAAGTTGATTTTTCTTCTTCTAAATAAACGTGACTTTCTTTTTTGGACATACCAAAAAGGGAAGTACAACACATAAGATGGATCAGGAGTGTTCTCTTTCTCTATCTTTTGTACTGATTCTCCCCACTCATCCCAGTTAACCATCAAGTTGTGGAAAAAAGGAGCTATTTTAATAATTCGAAAGTTAAACTAAAAAGTTAACCCCTTTATTCCTAGTTCTGTTCGTGTTCACAAACCAGAAGATTTTGCTAACTAATCCCTTAGCAAATGAAACGCTAAGGAAGATTTCAGTATACATGGTTCACACAAGCTATCCTCTTAAGAACAATAGAAAAAACCCAAGAACAAAAACAGCGCAAATTAGCACACTTTAAACAATGAAAGCTCATCAAAGTAATCAGCAACACATAGAAATGAAATGAACAATTCAGTATACTGTACTTGATTCACACAAGTTATGCACTTAGGAAATTGAGAAAACACCAAGAACAAAAGAGGGTAAAAAAGCTTTCTTTTAAACAATGAAACCTCAGAATAAGCAGCAACACTTAGAATTGAAATGGATAAATCAGTATACTTGATTCACACAAAGTCATGCTCTTAAAATTTAGACAAACCCCAAGAACAAAAGAGCACAAAATAGCCCTCTTTTAAACAAAGAAACCTCAAAATAAGTACAACACTTAGAATTGAAATGGATAAATCAGTATACTTGATTCACACAAAGTTCATAAAATTTAGACAAACCCCAAGAACAAAAGAGCACAAAATAACCCTCTTTTAAATAAAGAAACCTCAAAATAAGCACAACACTTAGAATTGAAATGGACAAATCAGCATTTGATTCACACAAAATTGTGCTCTTAAAGAACTAGAGAATACCCCAAAGATCAAAATAGCACTAAAAGCCTTTTTTTTTAAAAAACAATGAAACATCAAAGTAAGCAACAACAACTAGAAACCAAATGGACACTTCAATATAATTGATTCACACAAGTTATGCTCTTCTAAATTAGACAAAAACCCAAGAACAAAATAGCCTAATTTAAACAATAAAACCTCAAAATAAGCAACAACACTTAGAATTGAAATGGATAAATTTGTATCCTTGATTCACACAAGTTATGCTTAGCCAAAAACCCAAGAACAAAAGAGCACAAAATACCCTTTATATAAACAATGAAGCCAAGCATAAACACTTAGAAATGAAAAACAAATAAAAAAATACAGAGATTTAAGTTTCTACCATGAAAGGGTGCTGCTCAGTAGCAGACTCTCAGTGTAATGTTCTCGAAGCTTGGAGGAAACATAATTTGAAATTGAAATTTGATCGGAATTTTGTTAATATACTAGTACTACCTCTTATGGCCAAAATTGATTCAATGTGATCTATCCATATAATATAATACATAGTATAAAGTAAAAAAGAACCCATGATTTTTTTTATTTTTTTTAAAAAAACATTTCATTTTTAAAAAAAATAATTCAATATTTGATACTTAGACCTAAATAATTCTAAATTCATTTATTTTTGGGTAGAGCATGACTTTATTCCGTAACATTCTAGCTTAGGATAAGATTTTCAAAACGACAAAACATAAGAGCTGTTGAGTACTTACATCCTAGCAACACGTTTTAAATTATGTGAGTCTAAGAACAAACGAATAAGGTCACTAGTAGGTTGGATCGTTACAATTTTGAATATTCGACCTTGAAAATTTAAAAATAATAACTGAAACTTTCAACTTTAGTGATAAGCTGTTTAGTTCATGGAATAAGGTAGACTATATTTAGAATCACTATGAGATGAAATTTATATCTCAAACTTTATATTTTTTTCTTCCGAAACGACTAATAAATTAATCACAAAATTATAATTGCAACACTATAATCCCAAAATAACTTTATATGCGAACCAAACTAAACTATCTCACATATAAGTGAAACACTTTTTTTAAACCTTATTGAGCACTTTAATACTAAGCCTTTGGACAAACTTACCAACATGGGCAATATAGTAAATTAACTATGGTCTCCAACAACTTATAGATAAGCCTCTTACAAAAATCTTGAACTAAAGGCCTCACAACCACCAACCAATTAAAACAATGTGAAGAAGTTGTAAAGCAAATCTAGTGAAGAAGTTCAACAAAAATAATGGAAACATGTTCATTTCCAAGAATTGTACTATCCCCCTTAAATCCACTAATCTCAAAAAACAAACACTTCCAAATTCCCAAATCCAAACAATTACATAAAAAAATCACACCTCTTTTTGCAACACTCAATTCTCCAAAAGGTTTTGGACCTTCCCCTAAGAAAATTATCAAAAAATCCAAGAAAATACCAAAACAAGAAAATGAAGATCAAGACGACGATAACGATAACGATGATGATGATGATAATGATGATGAAGAACAAGAAAGAGGAGTTATACCAGAGATAGTAACTAATAGAATGATAAGTAGAATGGGACTTTCCGTTGGTATTCCTTTGTTTATTGGTTTATTGTTTTTTCCTTTTTTTTATTATCTTAAGGTTGGTTTAAAAATTGATGTGCCTACTTGGGTACCTTTTATTGTGTCATTTGTGTTTTTTGGGAGTGCCTTATTGGGAGTTAGTTATGGGATAGTTTCATCTAGTTGGGATCCAATGAGAGAAGGGTCAACTTTGGGTTGGAATGAAGCTAAGAAGAATTGGCCTGTTTTTTGGCAATCAATTAGTGGGGGTGGATCAAGAAAAAAGTATTAGGAGTTTTGGACTTTGGTTATGTATCTTTTATTAATATAATAATGTGTTTAAATCTTGATCTTATTATATAATCATGTTATTTGGATTGCTTATTTATGATTTAGGTGTTTTCTTGATTTGTGGGGTATGGAGTCGATTTGTTGTTACAGAGTAATATTTAAGTTGTTTACGTATGAGTTTATTGAGTTCTATGAGATTATGATGATTTAGAAGGCGTTGGATTTTTGGTTATGCATCTTTCATTAATATAATGTGCTTAAATCTTGATCTTGTTATATAATAACCATGTCATTTGAATTGCTTATTTATGATTTAGGTGTTTTCTTGATTTGTGGGATATGTAGTCGACTTATTGTCACAGAGTAATATTTAAGTTGTTTACGTATGAGTCCTATGAGATTATGATGATTTTAAAGGCGTAGGACTTTTGGCTATGCATCTTTCATTAATGTAATGTGTTTAAATTTTGATCTTGTCTTATAATAACTATGTCATTTGGATTGCTTATTTAAAGGCGCAAGTATTTTCTTGATTTGTGGCGTATTTAGAATTTTATATAAATGATGTCGACTTATTATCACAAAGTAATATTTTAAGTTGTTTATGTATGAGTCCTATGAGATTATGGTGATTTAAAGGCGAAAGACTTTTGATTTTTGCATCTTTCATTAATATAATGTGTTTAAATCTTGGTCTTGTTATATAACCATGTCATTTGAATTGCTGATTTATGATTATTTAGGCATTTTCTTGATTTGTGGGGTATGTTGGATTTTGCATAAATGGTGTCAACTTATTGTAATATTTAAGTTGTTTGTGTATGAGTCCTATGAGATTGTGATGGTTTTAAAGGCGTAGGACTTTTGGTTATACATCTTTCATTAATATAATGTGTTTAAATCTTGATCTTGGTATATATTGGATTGTTTATTTATGATTTCAGTATTTTCTTATTTGTGGGGTATGTAGAATTTTACATAAACGACATGGATTTATTGTCACAAAGTAATATTTAAGTTGTTAATATATGAGATTATGATGATTTCAGGTATTTATTCATCATATGAAATTAATATCGAAAGAAGTAGGACTTTTGGCTCTTTGAATGTCTTTTATAATAGTCTCTATAATAACCATGTTATTTAGATTGTTTCTGTATGAATTAGGTGTTTTCTTGATTCGTAGAGTATATAGAATTTTGTGTAAATGGTATCAATCTATTGTCACAAAGTAAATTTAAAGTTGATTATGTCTTATATTATGTTGATTATAAAGTTTTACTTCTCGTCTGAAAATAATATTGAAATAAGTTGGACGGGCTATTGACTATGCATTTCTATCTGAACATGTCATTTATTGTCTTGATTTTGTTATAAATTTCTCATCTAAATAGCTTTTCGTAAGGAGGTATTTTCTTGATTTGTGGGGTATGTAGAATTTTGTGAAAACGTGATGTCGATCTATTGTCATGAAGTGATTTTTAAGTTGTTTATGTCTGAGAATATGGTGATTTAAAGGATTTGCCCTCCGTATGAGATTAATATTAACTTTGTATTATTTTTAAAAGTTTTTTTATTCTCACATGTTTATTTTTTTTCACCATTGAAAGTGAGTCTTTTTTCATGAATATCATATCTGGCTAATGTGAGATATGAATATATCGTAACGATGAATCTATTAATCGATCATGTTATATAGGATTGAGTTGAACATTTAGTTAATATGATTTGAATTATTATTCAAATATACAGAAGTGAAACAATTAACCTATTGATATTGAAATACCAACGAATTTTTCCAATGTATCATCAATAAGAACATTAATACTAGATTAGCAAATAAGCCAACACATAAAACATGAAATTGGGCTGGGCCTACCTCAATTGTACAGAAAAAAGCCCATTGGTTGACTTGGGTAGCTACATAAGCCCAATAAGGAATATTAGACTACAAAGAATAAAGAGGCTAAATAAAAATAATTAGAAGTAAATAAAACTTTAGTAAATTCAAATGTTCTTAACTAGAAATACACAACAAGGTGAAGACAGTGTAATTTCAAATGTTATAATAGGTTACATACCATTTATTATAGGTTATCAAACAATACTTTATCAAATGAAACTAATTATAATACAGATGGTGTTTAGCAAGCTTATAAATCGATCAAACTAGTTTATAAGTATCTTTTAGTTTAGTTACAACAATACTAACATATTTAGTAAAATTTCACTAAATAAGATCTGTGAAGGATAATGTGTATGCAAATCTTATCACTACCTCGATGAGGTAAAAAAGTTATTTTGAAAAGACCGCTCATTTAGTTTATTTACACATTTGATAAATATTTTTTTTTAAAACTGCTTGTAAGTCAAAATCAATCAAAAATCATTCTTAGTTGATCACCCCAATATATGATTTATGATCAGCTTATAAGCATTTTTAATTTGACCATTTTTTTTAAAATTATTTGTCTCCAAATACTTTTGTTACCTTGGATATACTCTTTCTAGAACATAACTCGTAATTACTCTATACTTTATTTTTGCTATTCGTTTTACTTCTATGTAAAGAAGACCTTTCCTAGGTTTGACTCTGTTACATTAATTTTTCTTGTAGTTTATGTAATTACGTTTGTCTTTCTTATTTTATTTTATTTTTATAACAATTATTTAACCTTTTTTATTTTTTGTGTAAAAAAAAGTATTATCCAATCAAATTACCCTTTCTAATATTCTTTAATATATGATATATATCTAGCATGATATATGAAATATATGACAAAGATGGATATGTTGATTCCGTATCATATAGGATTGGATCATACATCAAATTGCTTCGATTTGAATTATCCGAAAATACAAAAACAAAACAGTAAACTCATAAGCAAATTTACACGTGACATTACATAATGTCACGTGATCTGACAAAATAATTTTCACCTTTTTTTGGAATTGTGTTCTGAAATCATGTTTGGATATAAATGTTATAAACTTTTCGAAATATATCGAAATTTTTATGTCCAAACGTTCACGTAAGGGTTTTTCAGCAAAAAATTGCATTATTGTGTTGTGTTGTATTTAGTTTTTTTTTTTACTTACATAAACAAACATTCCTAATGTTTGAACAAAGTATAATCTCGACCATTGCTTTTCATGCATGTTCCCCCATCTTTACTAATGATTAGTATCATGTAGAGATACTATGAAAATGTAGGATAACAGATGAAATATAATTATTAAATAATAAATAAAGATAAAATGAGAAGAAAATATTAAGGTAACTACTCACACCAAAATCCGTCGTTCTATAAAATGGGTTTTTTCATTATTACCTAATAACGATGAATTTAAACGATACGATATAATATAATTTAAATAACAATCAAAACAAACATTTTATTTAAACTAACAATACAATACAAATATAGAATACAACATGTAACAACCATCCAAACAAGTTGTTAGATTCTGATTGTCTCAAGGACTATCAAAAATCAACATGATTAAAAAAATAATAGTAGCAACAATAGAAAATATATAATATATAAATCACTTAAAAACATTATAATAAAAATACTAAAATAAGAACATCAACATAAATCTGTTATTCACATCATTGCTTAATGTTTAATGATGATGTTAAACTGTAATTAGCCAAACCAAATACTATGAATTAAAAGCATTGCATGTAGGCAAGGGCACATGACAGAATTTTGTTAGACCTTTTGCCATAAGGCAAAGACAACATAGTACAACTAATGCAGTGTGTGTTTTGCTTTGGCTCACAATTATTGGTTACACATAAATGTGGACAAAAATCTGTACAAGGCAATAAAGAGAAGGTAGAGTACATAATTGAAAAGTTTTCCTCTCACCCCATTCAAAGTACGTCTCGTTGTCCCAATTTATGTGACACATTTTGGATTTCGAAATTTAAATAAGTATTGTTAATTATTGTGACTTACAGTATTTTTTACGTAGTTTACAAATATATAGATTTCATTTCAAAAATTTGAAGATTTCACGAGCAAATTCTCGCTCAAACTTAAATTGTTTGACTCTCGAAAAACAAAACGCGTCACATAAATTGGGACAAAGAGAGTAATATTTTCTTTTTAATTTAATATTTGAAATTTACTCGACTGATTGATTTGAGTTTGTACCAATTTGAGGTGTAATCCACCTAACTAGCCCAAGTTTGCACAAGTGAATGGTCAACCTATTTATTAACTCAACCAATTTTAATTAGTCATGTTCAACTCATTCAAAGATCGGGACTTAATGACGTTGAAAACGGGGGTATTGAACTTTTAAACCCCGTTTGTCCCACTTCAAACTTCAAAGGCATGAGCTTGTTAAACTTGAAGTTATGCTCATGGAGCAAGCGAGGTCAAAAGTTTAAGATCACACACTGACAAGATTCATCATTCTTATAATTAATTACTCCATTGAGTTCATTAGGGAATAATATATTAATATTTAGTCCAAAGTGATCCATAAGATTTTTTTGTATGGTATGTTATGTAAAATCATAATAATGAAAAAATTAATCAGTTTCCGTTGGTAGTTAAACAACTTAAAAGAAAACAAATTACAAAAAATTAAAACTTGGAAAGAGTTGTGTAGATTGATTTATAAACCCAATGTTCGCTCATCTTGACCCAACTCATCCCAGCCAAAGTAACTTTTGGAAACTTCAAGTACCCGTCAATTTATTAATTTAGACCGTTTGATCCATGACTCAACTCAGTCTGCTCATTAGATTCGTCCAAATTCAACTCAATCCATCCATTTGACTCCTGCGAAGGGGTAAATGTTATCATCAAGACAATTTCACCTATTTTTAACTATTCCACCCCTAGCTCTCATGAGTGGTCCATTCAAATGTTGGATTATGAAGAAACAAAGAAACAAATGACAGTTTGTCACCCCCCAAAAATAGCAATGGACAGCATGGGAGTATTTGCCAGACAAGAAGTTAAGGAAGGGAAGCATAGAAAAGAGAACATTGGAACATTAACTTTGCTTTTCTTGCCTAACAAGATGTTGCTCTCTTTAAACAATTTTGTAGCTTTCACTTTTAACTCCTTGTCATGTTAATTAATACTACAAGGTTATTAAAAAACGAGTGAAGTACTGAAAACATCTCTAAATTCAGCGTAAATTATTAATTTTATTTCAAATTATTGACAACCTTAAAAACACTAATTTGCTTGACTAACTGAACTTAAATACACCTCAATCTTGCAATATGAGTAAAATGTCTCCCTAAATTCTCACCAAGTTTAGAAATATTTTCAATATTTTTCTCGGCTTTTTATTAAGAACCTCATGCTCCTACAAAAGTTTGAGAGCACTTATTATGTCATGTAGCAGATCGGTTTTTTTTAAAAGTTTAGTTATTAATCAAGTAAGAGTATTTTTAAGGCTATCAATTGTTCAAGAATGAAACTTATAACTTGTGTTAAGTTCATGGGTGTTCTCAATACTTTTCTCTAAAATTTTTTAATATGATTCAGTGTAAATACGAAGAAAGTTTGTATTCATTACTTGCCAATTGCTACTCCCTTTCTCCGGCAATACTTGTTATTTTTTTTCGCGAGTCAAACTATATCAATTTTGATACGTATTTTAAGATATTTTTTTATCATATTGATATGAAAAGAATTGCAATTTATACTATATTCAGTATATTTTTCGAATATTTAAATTGTAAATTTAAAATATTAAATTAATTGAATCCACTTTAACTCTGAAGATTAATCAAATTGGCTCTCGAAAAGTGAAACATAATTACTAACACGGAGGGAGTATCATATAAGTAGGTATGGCAATGGGGCGGGGGAGGAGAGGGTTGAGTTTAACCCACAAAATTTTTAACCCTCCCCCTTCTCCCCCCCGCATAATTTTTATTATATTTTCTTTTTCTAGTTAAATTTGATACTAAAAATAAAATTCATACAAATAAATTTATTTTTCATTTTGTTATATTAATTTGATAGGATAGTGACTTAAAAAATTATTTTTTAGAGGTCAATTGGGAAACATGTAAGAAATTGTATTATTTTTTATTGAACCATTTTCATTTACTATCTTGAATATTTTATTATCTTTAGAGAAACTATTTTAATAAATAATGCCCTATCACTCTTATAACATCTAAAAAGTTAAAATTAAGCTTGAACCCACATAAAATCACATATACCCGCAACCCGCCCTGCCCCGCATTAATTTTTAAAAAACTCACTTCAACCCGCCCCGCATCCCACCCGCCCCACACAACCTTAAACCGGCGCCCACCCTGCATAGCCTTAAACCCACCCCGCCCCCACACCGCCCCATTGACATCCCTACCTATAAGAGATAAAACAATCACATATTCACTAGCACTTACACAAAGGTGTTTGACTAAGCTTTATCAACTAGATTATAAATAGTTTTAGACATATATTCACATTTGATAACTAAAAATGTATAAATCAAGTGCTTATAAACTCAAAGTAGTCAAAAATCATAAGTCTATTATTCCTAACTTATGATTTTGCAATTTATAAATCATATTTGATTTGATAAATATAATATTTCATCGTTGGTCATTATAACCTTAAAGACATTTAACAATTTTGCCTTGTGTTTCTTATTATCAGCTTTAACATTTCTATCTAAACGCATAATTATTTACTTAAAAATAATTTTAACACCCAAAAATATTTTTCTAACACTTAGATATTTATCAGTTACTTTTCATCTGTTTATCATTTTTTATATGTATACATTTTGATTGGATACAACCACCTTGATTATTTTTTAATTACAAACACTATAACCAAAAGAAAACAAAAGAGAAACATAATGATTTGATTCTTTTCTGATCATATCCTTAAAATAGCTTAGTCATTTTCATAAATCCCCACCAAATAATTAATGAGTTTAACATCAATATGGATTGTGATGGACAAATGAAATTTATTTATTTTTAATTAAATATTTTAGATTCAAATAAAAAAAATTGTTGAGAGCTTGCACTCAAAAATAAATTTAGTAATATGTGAATATAAATTTAATCATACTCTAATACATTACTGAATATCAGGTAAGAAAGTAAAAAGGAAAAATGGGGTTATAAGTAATGTAATTTTTTATTTTACTTTTATATGGCCAATGCAAAACACTCAAACTCAAAATAATTAAATATCCAACCCTAATTTAAAAGGCCAAAAAAGGGTTACTCCCACCTTAATATGATGGTTCCAAGTAACCATTTATCTAGACATGTGGGGCCCACATGTCCACCATGAACAAGACCACAAAAAAACCATTTGGTCCAACAATGAAACCCACCTAATAGTCCAAACTTTTTAGACGTCCGATAGCTGGTTTGGAGATAAGTTATGAATATATTAAATTGTGCATAAATAATATCATCAGTTGATTATAAAATAAGTTATTCGTATATAATTTATAATACAGAAACTCAAATAATTAATATATATATATATGTATATATAAGTTATGAGTTGTGCATATTTTTATGCAAGATAGAAAATAGATTGAGTAATTCATATGAATAATTGAACCTTACTGAACTAATTCTTCTCGTAACTAATTCATATATTATTGGGATAAGACACAACTATCTCCTAGACTATGATCGAAATCTCAGAAATTCACCTTAACTAAACTAAGGTTCTATTACCCCAAACTTATTTTTTGTAATTTTATATACCTTTTTGTTTACGTGGCATACTCCGTGATTCCATGTAGTTGAGGCGTGTGAGAGATATTTGGATGTCACATAACACAAAAAGGTATACAAAATTACCAAAAAAAAATAGATTCGAGGAGGTAATAAAACCTTAGTTTAGTGACGAGAGGGAGTTGCTCGGATGGTAAGCACCCCTCACTTCCAACCCGAAGATTGCGAGTTCGAGTCACCAATGGAGCAAAATGGGTGGTAGCTCCTAGGGAGGGTAAAAAAAAAAAAGAACCTTAGTTTAGTTAAGATATCTCTCTAGGATTTCAATTATTATTAGTAATACTTTCATAACTTTAATCAACTACGAAACAACTTTGTCAATGCACAACGTACAACTCAACCAATACAACAGTACCACTTTATACTCACTGTTTATATACACGTTTTCCGTTGGATAGCGACACAAATAGTGTTGACGGCGTCACGTTCTTCTATAAATTCCTTTCAACACTTCCCACGAGTTGTTTATTTCCCTTTTGTCTCCATTCTAAAAATACAGATATTTTCCGGCGAATTCGAAATCTCTTTATCGGTACCGGAAAATTAGCCGGAGTACTACTGGAGATTTTACTCCGACGTCGGAGTTTTTCGCTGTTATTTGATTTGATAACTCTACGATTTGCTTAAGGATTTTAGTTTTCCCTGCATTTTCTCTCGTTGTTCGTTGAATACGTGAAGAGAACAGAGCAAAGCGGATTATTGCTTTGTTCGCCATTTTTACCGGTGAGTTTCAGATGATTATCAGCTCCGGTGCGTAGCCATTTGAGGTATGGATTTTCCTAATCCGTCTGTTTAGAGAGTGAGAGCGGATTTTTTTGGCTGTTATTGATTTGATTTGATATTGGAACCGTTGATTAAGGATTTTCCCCTGCATTTTCTCGTTTTTTTGAATATGTAAAGAGAATAGAGCAAAAGCAGATTGTTGCTCTCTGTTTAGAGAGTGAGAGCGGATTTTTCGATATTATTGATTTGAGTTGATATTGGAACAGTTGATTAAGGATTTTCCCCTGCATTTTCTCATTTTTTTTGAATATGTAAAGAGAATAGAGCAAACACAGATTGTTGCTCTGGACGGCATTTTTACCGGTGAGTTTCAGATGATTATCAGCTCCGGTCAGTAGCCGAGGTATGGATTTTCCTGAGAGTGAGCTTTTTTTTTTTTTCAAATCACGGATTTTCAGTGTTTTCTCTGGTATTTGATTTGATATCTGTACGATTTGCTTAGGATTTCCCCCTGCATTTTCTCGTTTTTCGAATACGTAAAGAGAATAGAGCAAAGCAGATTGTTGCTCCGGACGCCATTTTACTCGTGATATGATGATTTGAGGTATGGATTTACCGATTACATCTTTTTCACTCCATTTGATTATGTGACACACTATTGCTATTGAGAGTATGAGCCGATTTTTCAATATTTTCGCTGTTATTGATTTGATTTGGAATTTGAATGGCTTGCTTAAGGATTTTCGCCTCCATTTTCTCTCGTTTCTGAATATGTAAGAAAATCGGAGCAAAGCAGATTGTTGCTGTGGACGCCATTTTTATCGGTGAGTTTAAGATGATTATCTAGCTAGCTCCGGCCAGTAGCGGTTTGAGGTATGAATCTTCCAGCTCCATCAATTCCATCTTTGTGTCACTATTGCATTGCTTTTACGTGCACCTCACTATATCTTTGTACAAATATCGAGTTAACTTTAGAGAGTGAAATTCCTATTGGAGCTAAGTTTTTTTTTTTCACTAAAAAAATTAAAATAAAGAAATAAATACCTTTAAAAGCTTTAAAATTCAATGTTTACCATATATATGAATGTAAAATATTTTAATTTTATACATATTATATAATTATCCGGAGAAAAAGATTCGAATAAACCTCTTCAAACCACAGCTCCATTTTGGGTCAGGTCAATAGTAGTAGGCAGATAAAAGAGTTAACCTAGTGTTCACCTGCTAGACTTGAATATTACTCTGAATATATTTGGACCACAGAACTATGCTATCGTTTAACTATAGATTTTCAGTTTTCTTTTGAAAAGTCAAATTCGAAGTTAAACATATGTATATTAGTACTAAGATTTCAAAATATTTTTCACATTTTTTAAAAAATGAAATAAAATATAAACAACGAAAATAACAAATTCAGTAATCTTATATATTTTAAATATTAGAGACCTTATCTATTGACAACTATTTGCAAATGAATATATAGTTTATAGAGTATAAAAATAAAAGTGTACGGAATTGTTGAATATAGAGAGTTATTGTCTGCTTGAATATTGAATGGCACCTTTCAAAGGTAGACAATTGCTCATTCATTTGTAAAGCGATTGGTCATTCATTCCACAAACATCTCCTGCTCTGTTAGTTCTGTTGTTAATACTGCTACTGCATGCGACTGCTACTTAATTCTCTCTCCACAGTGCTAGTAATCCATCTTATTTGATACTACTATTTTAATACATTTTATCATATGATTTCTAAAAATTTATATAAAGTGGTTATTGAGTTAAATGTTTATAAGCAAAGCTAGAACTAGCATTTTTTGAATAGTAATTAGGCTGGTTTCTGAATTTAACTTTTGTATATTTTGAATGAATTTATTAAGGAGTAGAAACTTCTGTTTGGGAAGATGTTTTATCTATAGAATATTTTATAGTATTTGGTAAATAAGCAAAAAATAGTATCTCAAAAGTATTTATATGTAATTTAACAAAATAATATAAGGGTGGGATGGTGTGGGGAGTAGGGCTTCGGTGGGATGGTCACGGGGTCAGAGTTGGAGCAGTTGGGTGGATGTGAAGACGACAATTAACTTGAAATGTCACTTATTCAATTTGTATTCTCTACTTCTATTAAAAAAGTCATTTTCATCATTTTTAAGTAATTTGTATTTTGACTAACAAACATATAGAAATTGAAAAGTATAAAAAAGTGTTTCTCATTATCAATCACTCTAAAGTTATTAAGTTCAACCAAACTCGTATGTTGATTTTTAGCTTCACCACCCTTACTCGTGAAAGTAAAACATACTCTCATTTGATAAAACATCAAATACGTAAATATTTATTATTAGTTTTAATTAATACTTTATCTAAATATGTAATTACTTATTTATAAAATAGTATATTTAAAAATATATTTTTAACACTTAAATATTTATCGACTATTTTTAATTAGCAGACTCAAATGGATTATCAATAGGCGTAGAAACATCGGTTCTCTAGTCTTTACGATATCAGGAATAAATTCACAAAAAACCTTCTGCTATTCTTTCTTTTTTTCCCCGGGTTTTTGGGCATACTTGCACATTAAAGCAAGTACATAAGGATACCACTTGCGATTTTAAGCGTTCAATATTTAATTATGTCATTTTTCTCCTTTAAAAACCCTAATTCTTGTCCTTTTTTTTTATTCGAGTTAAAGTATTACGTACTAAAAAAAAGAAGGAAAAAGGACAAATATACTTTCGAACTATTGTAAATGGTATGCTGATATTCTCCGTCATACTTTTGAGACATTGGTGCTCCTGTCATTCAAAAACTAGAGCATATATGCCCTTCACTCTAAATGTCGGATCGGTGGATAAGATTATGACACGTGTATGTCCGTTAGTATAAAGGTATATATGCTCTAATTTTTTAATGGTATGAGCACCAATGTCCCATAAGTATGACGGAGGATATTTGCATATCATTTACGATAATTCGGAATATATTTATCCTTTTTTTTAAAAAAAGGAGTTATTTATTAACTAGATCACTCATAAAATAATGTCAATATTTTTTTCTATAAGGTACAAGAATGTTATATCGGCTTCTTTTTAATGGAAAAAATTATGGTTTCGAATTGGAAGAATATGTCAGTAATTTTTCCTTTTTTATATATATATATTCTCCTTTTCTAACTAGAATCCTATTTTCCTTGTCCTCTTGTTAGAATAGCATAGTGGTCCCAATCTTTAAAAATGTCCTTGCACCCCAATTGTATCTAACTTTAAATGATCATTGAAATAATTAACTTGTTGAATTGCTTTTCTTGTTTATTTGAACTTTTTTTATTTTTCATTTTGTGATTAGTATTCATTTTGAAAAATTGATTACTTTGAATTCACACAGAAAAGTCTTACTTTAAAGGTAAAACATTTCTTATAAAAAATGACTTAACTCGAGATCACTGATTAATAATAGACGAGTACTTATCACTCTATCGTAACTTTTGATAGTTTTTGTAGTTCATTTAAACCTAAAACTTCAGTGGAAGATAATTTGAGTAACTTTTCCTTATATCTATATGTTCTCCAAGATATTGTCATTTTCTATTTAGAATCCTATTTTCCTCCCTAGTTGTCAGCATAGGGTGGTCCTAATTTTTGCAAATGTCCTTGCACCAAATTGTAATGATCAACGAAGCAGTAATAATTAACTTGTTGAACTACTTTTCTACTATATTTTAACTTTATTGGTTTTTCATTCATGTTGGGGTAAATCACTTTATACCAAATATGACTAGCTCAAATTCGAGATATTTGATTAATGATGAACGAATACTTACTACTTCGCCATAGCCTTTGGTGGTTCTATAGTTTTGACACCCTTGGATTTAAAAAATCTAAATTTTTTCCAGCTATCATTTGCTATTTAATGTTTTTACCTTAAAAGATAGTGACTGAAAATTAATGCATTATCTCCCAATATCTCGAAATATTGAAAATCACAGCTCTACATTTTATTAAAGGAAAGTTTTTTGTAATTTAAATTTGAAATGAAAGATCTTAACTGATCTTGTTAGCAAAAACACACAAAATGAATATATCTAAAAACAGTGTTATATGATTGTTTACTTATGTTTCATGACTCATTTATATTTCATTTGCAGTTAAAAGAAGAAAGCAGAATATACAGAGTATAAACAGAGGAACAAAACAGAAGGGAATTAAAAATGTTGACATGCATTACATGTAAGCAAAAAGTTGAAGATGATGGTGGAGAAGAAGAAGGTATTCGAGGTTCTCCCAATACTAAAGATGCTATCAAAAGCCTGACAGCACAGGTTCTACACCCTCACCTACTCTATTCTTGCTTGCACTTTATATATATATTGGTTGTTTTTGCTTGGCTTATCGAACTAGCGTATGTCCATTCCTCCTTTGATGGCTCCTAATAGTTGTAGAGAAAGACTAAATATTCCGATGTAGATTGAAAGGAAGTTGAGGATGGAGATAGATCCTTTTGCCTATCTGGAGTGTTGGAAATATAACAATGTTTTTCGTATTTTTTATTTCCTGATTACTGGAAGCAATATTCATTGGTACAAGGATCTATTCACAGAAACTTCCACTACGATAGAAACTGACAATGAATTTACAAAGGCTTGTGCACATTTTCATTAATCCATGAATAAGATCTATACATCTTAATTGGAAAAGATTCAAGAGAAAAAGAAAGAAAACTGATCAATAGATTTCTCCAAAAACAAACGAAAGATGAAACATAAATTATGGATCAACTAAACCCTCTGGATTAGATCGTGCACGTTGACTATTCTATTGTATAACTCTACTCGACAAGACTTGAGACATATAAAGAGAACTTATAATGGATCAATATCTGTTAGAGACCTACTATTCAGTACTTTTTATATTATTACAATTTTTTCAATTTTTTTTTTTAATCATTGCAGATTAAAGATATAGCATTGAAGGTCACTGGTGCTTATAGGTGCAAGTCAAGTAGTATGCCCACCAACAATTACAAGAAAGGGCATGGACCATATCCATATCCATATCCAGAGTTTGATGCAATCTCTGAGGGAGTTTTATATAATTACCAAACAGGAAGTTCAAATTCTACTCCAGCTTGGGATTTTACTAGTACTGGTCAATTCCAAACACCAACTAGGACTGATTCTAGATTAAGTGATGTGATGTTGGAAGATGAAGAGGAGGCTAAAGAGTGGACAGCACAAGTGGAGCCTGGAATTCAGATTACTTTTGGTTCTCTCCCACATGGTGGAAATGATCTTAAAAGAATCAGATTCAGGTATCTATTCATCATCTCCTTTCATTTTACTCCCCTGCGTTTCAATTTGTTTGTCTAGTTTTGACTTGACACGGAGTTTTAAGAAAGTAGATTTGACTTGTTATTTGTCATTTGAAGTCGGGATGTGTTCAACAAATGGCAAGCTCAAAGATGGTGGGGTGAAAATTATGACAGAATTATGGAGCTTTACAATGTTCAGAGATTTAATAAGCATGCTCTTCACACACCCTCACAGTCTGAGGATGGGGTATGGCTGCTCCCTCCGTTTCAATTCGTTTGTCTGGTTTTGACTTGACACGGAATTTAAAGTCTTTTTTCTGCAGAGAGATTCAAATTATTCGTCAAGGCCTGGATCTGCAAGGGATTTCCAACAATACAATGCTGGATTAGGTGCTCATGTCCCTAGTTTCCCAAAGGGTAGTGGGGCATCAAGAACGACGACCTCCTCTAGAGACGAGGTTTCAGTTTCTGTAAGTAATGCTAGTGATATGGAGTCAGAATGGATAGAACAAGATGAACCTGGAGTGTGTATAACTATCAGACAATTAGCTGATGGAACTAGAGAGCTACGTCGAGTTAGATTCAGGTAACTCACAACTTCTATTTTATTTCGTTCTAACGTGCCATATAAGATGAAGCATAGGAAACCTGGTGTAAACATTCCTAGTGTCTGGTACGAGGGAAGTCATTTCTACTACTCTTTTTCCGAGAGTCTGGACAAGTTCATGTGTTGATAGTGCAATTTCAACTGGCATTTCTCTAACTTCTTCTTCATTTACACAGTCGCGAAAAATTTGGAGAGGTGAACGCGAAGCAGTGGTGGGAGCAGAACTGGGAGAGAATACAAGCACAGTACCTTTAAAATCATGTATTCCATATTAAATTATCAGCATTTTCCACGACTTATAAAAGGGTACTCAAAATGGAATATTTTGCCATCCTCGAAGCAAAGTTAACATCATCTATGATAAGGGTGACGGAGAAGGAGCCAAGATTTTAACTTTATGAGTTCTAAATTCTAAAATAGCAACATCAGGTGTTTTGTAATGTGGCTCGGAGCTAAGTTTTTGTACACATATAGTAGATTTGGATTCGGTTGTACCCTTACGTAACCTTCTAGCTCCGCCCCTGTGGGGTGAGGCCCCAAGGGGGGCAGAGACACATTTTGATCCTTTCAGTTTCCTACTTCTATATGGATCTCCAAATTTCAAATTTTCTAAGCATCAAAACTAGTAACTATCTATCTAAATGATAGACTGACTATCACCAATTAGGATTCTCAACAAATATGTAATCCACAATATATTTATTAGCTCCATGGATAAAAGGACATTATTCATTTCGTTTGATATTCAACTATACTCGATATTACAACATCGAAAGTTGCAGCACAAAACACCATAAAGTGCTACTCAAGAGGGGAAAGAAGTATAGGTTAAATACATGGGTATATATTGCTCAGTATGGCATCCAGTGAGCACCAACCCTATCGCGCGGAATCAGCCGCAGTTCAGAACCATGTTTAAGAAAAACATTACCTGAAAAGCCATTTGAGTTGATATAAAAAGTTAGAAAACTAGATAAACAAATATTGTGGCAAAAAGAGACAGAATTTATAAAGTTATACTTCCAAAGTACATGCAATTGTAACTATAGGTGATATGCACTGCATCGGTAAGCAAATGAGAACTGTGGTCCGAAAGCATAAGGATACATCGTCCTTCTTGAAGCAAATTACTTGGTAACTAGGCATGATCGCAGGTTAGAAGTCTAGTTTATGTCAAGCAATAGTCAATTGAACTCGTCTCCACTTTCCAATAACTCTAAAAACTTGCTGTCCACATTACTTGGTAGTAGAAAATATGCAAATGGGGAAAAGGAAAAGCTAAATCAGAACCTACTTAGTATTACCGTAAATGCAAACACAAAACATGACCAGACCTTAAACAACTCAGGCACAGAACTCTTTTAAAAGACGACATGGATTTTCAATTCAGATTTCCGTTGCACTCCAAATATCCAAAAACAAATCCTACTTCTGAATATCTGATTGTCATACAAATCAACCTCAGAATTTATACTATATTTTCTCTGTACTTCACAACCTTTGAAAGAAGTGTCAAGCACGACTGGGAATCATGTTGCTTCTTAGTTGGCAAAGACTGGTAAATCCTCACCAATATTTCGAAAATGTAAAACAACATTTTGGAAGTGTAGTGGCACGATGTAGAGCCCATAGATGATAGAAAGGACTAGAATCTGATTTTGCCTTCTGAAAGTTTTTAAAGAAGGCAGTTAATGTCCGATTCCTCATATCAAGATTATAGGTGACTTGATGGGGAAAACACTAGAGGATTAGAGCGCTGGGAATGCATCAAATGTTTTGAAAAGATTTGCAAAACTTGAGAGTGTCAGACTATGATGGAGAAAGAAGAATCCTTTGCACTAATTTATGCACTGTGCAAGTCAAAAAGTGAAACTTCCCCAAGTGGATCGAGGTGCTATGAATCATCAATCAATAGGAAAAGTAAGGTCATTGCGATAACGATGGAGCCTCTTGGTAAATATTACAACAAAAAGAAAACAGGAAAAATAAATAAATACCACACTCATCCATTCATAAGCACAGATCCAGAAAGTTACTACATAACTTGAAGAAACAAGAACTAAGATCATGGGAAGATGAAATGCGTAACAGTGGTAAAGAGGCAGTGGTAGATTGTTATTGGGCAACCCAGAAAGTAATCTAGGCTGATGCACAAAGTTCATGACCGTATATACCTTTAGGTCAGACGCATACATGATACAACACATTGAGCTATGTATGATGAACACACAAAGCTCACTAAGAAAATTCACACAGAACAGTTAAAGAGTGCGCAAAATGCTCGGGAAACCAACACATCATAATCTGAGAAAGGGGTTCAAGATGACAATTTCGTGATGAGAAGTTTATTCTAGCACTTCTCATTATAAACTTAGATTATTCGAATTGACCCTATTGAGTCTTGACTAGTTTCTACTTTCTACTCCTTATCACTGCTCATCAATGCTCTGAAACCAACTTTGTAACAACTTATTGACTGTCATAAACTTCCGACATAGATTTGGTCAATAATCTACTAAAGAGCTCATATATAATTCCTTAAGCAATCCATGGGTACATAACTTATTTAATGCACTGAATTTTGCTCACATTATCCCAATTCACAGATTGTTTATCATCCATAAATAAAAAATAAACTATCATGAAGTACATACAGGAGGTAACTATAAACAAAAATGTAAAGCGTAAAGTTACCAGCACTTTGTTGAGGATTAATACCCACTCCATCTGCAAAATAAGATAAAAGGGACAAAGAAATAGTGTCAAAACAAGACATACATTTAGTAAAAGCACATGCTTTTTTTTCTCTCTAATTATACAGGCAATAGGTAAGAAAACCAAATTCCAAATTGCTTTATTTCATATTCTTCATTAGACTAATGAATAAGAAAACATAGTCAAAATAAACCAAATATATCGTTCTCTTCACCATAATAAGGATGATATCTTTATTTTCTCAATCACCATAAACAATTATCTTAAACATGAATCATTTGCTTTCACTAAGGTGAATTACATAATGTTCATTCTCTCAATCACCATAATCAATTTTCTTAAACATGAACTATTTGCTTTCACTGAGGTGAATTACATTAATCATCTACATGGTTATAAGCGAAACCAAAGGCGGAGCCACAATTTGACCTCTACATCTGAAATCAAGTTGTAGGTGTTAATTTAACTTATGAACATATTAAGTGGATTTCTCAACTACTTTGATTTGATGCACTCGAGCCAAGGATCTTTTGGAAACAGCCTCTCTACCTCCACGACCATACTATCCTCCCCTAGACACCACTTGTGAAATTTCCCTAGGCATGTTGTTGTTGTATTGAGTAGATTTCTTAATACAAATAGGTAACCTTCTAGCTCTGCCCCGAAGCGAAACTACCACCTAGCTAGATCAAACTAGTTTGATTACTGCTCCTGATTTGATTCAAGCAAATTCATCCAATTCAATTTTAATCTAACCAAACAATATAACTAATTAACCAAAAATAACTACAGTACATGTAATCAATGATTCTACAGCAACTTCAGCCAAAAAATTAATACACAAACGTCTAAAATTGAAGGAAATATACCATTAGTGATAATGGCGCTAGTTTGTGGAGGTACTTTGAATTCTTCGGCAGCAAATTTCAGCACAGCGGTGAACGGAGCAGCTTCCGGAACGCTAAAACTGAAGAAAAAAAATCACAAATAAGGTGTAAAATCAAAGAGAAAAGAGAATTTCAGAAATAAAAAATAATACATACACTTTGAAAGGCAATTTAGGATCGGAAGTAAGAGTGACTTTGAAGGAAACTTTTCCTCCTCCACCAGTAGCACCGCCGCCGGTCGCCATTTTTTCCTATCGGAGTTACGACGGAGAAAAGCGTTACGGAATTGGATTTATGGGCGTAGAAAATAAGCAAAAGTTCCACCACAGCTTACCACGTTGCTCTTATTATTGTGTTCTAATATAATTCTAATCTTAAGATAATAACTAGTTTGACACTTGACATTTAATAAGAGGTCAAACCACATTTTGTTATACTACAAATTGTTATTATTCGAGTCCACTTTTGCATAACTCGATTAATTTTATGAGATATTTGTCAACTCCCACCAGAAACAAATATGAGGTAACTATCAAGGCTAGGACAGATGGGAAAAGGGTCTTATTTGCATGTTTACCGTCGAAAATAAGTTATACTCCCTTCGTCCATCTTTACTTATTCATATTTGACTTGACACATTTCTTAAAAAGTAATAAAAAGAAGAGTAATTTTACTATGTTACTCCTTTTAATTACAAGTCATTAGATAATGAAAAATAAATAGTATTTAATAGGAAGGGTAAAATAAACATAAGATTATAAATTATCTCTTGATTTTCTAAATTAAACGAATAAATTTTGACAACGATTTTAAGTATGCCAAACAAGTAAAAATAGACTGAGGTTGTATTTGTGTTTTGTTAAACATTTTTAATCACTTGTAGAACCAAGACAAAACACTAAAGTGCAAGAATGCTTGTGGTTGGTGCAGAAGTGAGGCTATCGTACAAGTCATTCAAAAAAGAGGAAATTTGAAGTATATTGGGTCTATTATTCAAAGAAATAGGGAGATTGATGATGATGACACATATTGTGTAAGTATATGGGGGATGAAATGGAAGCTCGCAGCTGGAGTCTTATACGATAAGAATGTGTCACCAAAACTTAAAGACAAGTTTATAGAGTAATGGTTAGATCAATCATGTTGTATGAAGTGAAGTGTTGGTCAGTCAAGAGCTCTAATGTTCAGAAGATGAAAGTTGCGGAGATGAGCATGCTAAGATGAATATGTCGCATACTAGAAAAAGCAAAATTTAAGAATGGAGATATCCGAAACAATGTAGCGTGTGATACCGATAAAGGACACAATAGGAGAATCAAAATTGAGATGGTTCAGCTATTGTGCAAAGGAGATGCAAGGATGCCATGTGCGAAGGTGTAATATGTTGGATATGGATAATTTCAAGAGAGGTAAAAGTAAGTCGAAGGATAGTATGATGTATACATATGAATGTTTTTGAGCAAGATGCAATCAATCAACTTATGTGCATGGTTCATTCGATTTTAGTCACCTTGTTTCTAAATAATTTTATTTTTGTGAAATTTCAATATTCGAACGAAATAATTAATAACCGATATCATGATAACTCTATAACAATTTAATAAGTCTATAAATCGACCTTATAAGTCAATTCAATAAACATCAAAATCGAACCAATCAATACACAACCCCCTATTATACATGCCACAATTTTTGGCATCCTTTCTCATTTTTGCCTCTCAACTTAAAAATAAAAAATAGTTTACTAAAAAGGTCATTATTGAATATTGACAAAATGGTAAAAAAATAAAAAAATAAAAAACCAACTTTCAAGTCTAAAATTGATAAACCCGGCCCACATTGAGTTTAGCAGATCACAAAAAAAGCCCAGTTTAAAACAACTTCTAAACCTAAATTCCTTCTATAAAAGCCCATCTTCCTTCTTCTCCAAAATCATCTAGGGTTTAGCTCCTCATTCTCTTTCCGGCGCCGAATCAGTGGCCGCCATTGTAGAATTGTGTAGTTTTAGTTTTTATATATCAACTGTATTTGTATATTTTGCACTTCGCATTTCTATAAGCTTCGCTAAATTCTCAAAATAGTGCAGTCTTACAGCGATTAGTGCATAAAGGAAAAGCTGAATTTATCAGCGGCGGCCAGACAACCGTTGAGATGAATCCACAGATTGGTTCCGTTTTTGCTCCTGTCTACTAATTTCATCTCACATTTTGTTTTAATTATTTCTGTAGTTTTTTCACTTTGATGGTACACTTTTGAAATTGGGGCGAGTTTTTCAGTACTCGTATAATCCAAAGTATATATATCATCATAGAATAAGCCGTCTTTGTTGATGTAGCAGTTGATTTTTTCTGTTTTCCTTCTGGAAGATAGAAGGATCCTGCGTTTTAATCCGAAGATGGAGATCTCATATCCTATTGCCTTGAAGAGCGGAATCTCTGCTATTACTATTTGGGATTGACCATGAGAAATACATTCATTTCAACTATTTTTTATATGTTTTGCCTGTGATGAAATCTATTATAAAGAACACCATCTTTCGGGACTGAATGGCCCTCAAGGCCTTGTTGTCAATTCTGCAATTCTGAGGCCTTCAAGTATGAGTATTAATTAGATTTCTGCTTGAGCTATGTTTAATTGAGATGGAAGTGATGAATTTTTCCCCAGATGATCGAAGTTGAAATTACTGAGCGCTTTTTATGTATTTTCTCCTTATAGGGGAAAATTCAAGCCAGATATTCTGATCCGTCTCCATTTTTTCTTCCATTTTCTCTCTTCAATCTTAAAAAATGTGTCTTTTCTGAGTTTATTATGAATTTTTTGGATTACTTTGTTTATGGATGTGATGAATATTTCCCCAGATGATCGAAACTGAAATAACTGAGCGCTTTTTAATGTTTTTTCTCCTCTTTAGGGGAAAATTCAAGCCAGATATTCTGATCCATATGTATTAATTTCAATTGTTTTCTATGTTTTGATTGTTAGTAATGTTAATTTGTTAATTGAATTTGTTGCATGGAGGTGATGATTATTTCCCCAGATGATCGAAGTTGAAATTACTGAGCGCTTTTTCATGTTTTTTCTCCGTTCAGGGGAAAATCCAAGCCAGATATTCTGATCCATATACTTGCAATATTGTTATTTATGTTTGTTGAAATGCGTCGATATACTGATTACCATCGATGTTTATATACTATGATCGCTGTGTATGAGCCGACGCCATATGTATATTCCATTTCTGCTTCATAATTTGTTTCATTTAGCTCTTTAAAGAGCTGTTTGAACCAGATTTGGATATATTATCATTGTTTAATTTGATTGAAGTAGGAGATGGAAGTGATGATTTTTTCCCCAGATGATCGAAGCTGAAATTACTGAGCGCTTTTTATGTATTTTCTCTAAATCAGGGATAATCCAAGCCAGATATTCTGATCCGTCTCCGTTTATATGAATTTTTTTTGATCTTTTTGTGTTTTTATGAACTAATTTGATTGATTATTGATGAATTTGTGTTTATGGATATGATGATCATTTCCCCAGATGATCGAAGCTGAAATTACTGAGCGCTTTTACTGTATTTTCTCCTTATTGGGGAAAATCCAAGCCAGATATTCTGATCCATATACCAATTTATGGTTTGTGTTGATGTCAATTCATGTCTTTCAGTGCAATTATTCCAATTTCTGTGTCATTTTGGTATAATTTGTGATGATTTACATTGATTTGGGATAAGTTCTTGCTGTATTGTAGGACTCAAAATGCAAAAATAATTGTACTAAGTTCATGTCTTTGTTGATTTTATAGTGTTTGGGGATTATCCAATGATGGCATTAAATCTTTGAGACCTGAATTATCAATTTTGATGACACCTACAAGCATTTTTTCTGACCTACATCTTCGCAACTGTTCATATTGTTGTACAAGTGTAACCTATAAAGACTTATATCATATGATGTTTTAGAGATAAATAGTTGTGTCTTTATCATATATGAGGATTTAGATATATAATAGTTGTTTCTTTATCCTATGAGGATTTAGCTATGTAATAGTTGTTTCTTTATCATATATGAGGTTTTAGAGATGTAATAGTTGTTTCTTACTATATGTGTGGATTCAATCATTTGAGATCAATAAATTTCACATTTTGTTTTATACTCCTTGTAGTTATAATATTTTGATGGTACACTATTGAAATTGGGGCGAGTTTTTCAGTACTCGTATAACCCAATGTATCTATATCATCATATAATAATCTGTCTTTGTTGATTTAGCAGTTTGTTTTTTCTGTTTTCCTTCGGGGGAAGACAGTTGAATCCTGCGTTTTAATCCGAAGATGGAGATCTCATATCCTATTGCCTTGTGGAGCGGAATCTCTGCAATTACTATTTGGGATTGACCATGAGAAATACATTCATTTCAACTAATTTTTATATGTTTGTCTTGTTATGAAATCTATTATAAAGATCATCATTTTTGTCAATTCTGCAATTCCGAGTCCTTCATCAATGAGTATCTATTAGTTTTTCTCATTCAAACTTTGTTAGGAAAATTGATTTTTTTTCTTGTGTTTGAGATGGAACTGATGAATATTTCCCCAGATGATCGAAGCTGAAATTACTGAGCGCTTTTTATGTATTTTCTCCTTATAGGGGAAAATCCAAGCCAGATATTCTGATCCGTCTCCGTTTATATGAAAAAGTTTTGATCTTTTTTTTTGTTTTTGAACTAGTTTGATTGATTTTACTATATTTTCTCCTTATAGGGGATAATCCAAGCCAGATATTCTGATCCATATACCAATTTATGTTTTGCTTTTGTTAAGTTCTGTTCTTTCTTATTGTATATCAGTGCATTTTGTACAATTTGTGATGATTTACATTGATATGGGACAAGTTCTTCTGTATTGTATGACTCGTAATGCTAAAATCATTGCACAGTGTTCTTTTCTTTGTCGATGTATAAAGTGTTTGGATATATTTTTTCTTCAAATAATTTGTTTGATTGAATTATGATGTGTAAGGATGATGAAGAAATCATTCGGATTCCCACTGATGTATATACGTGATTACTACAACCAGCTACTTCTGACTTCACATCAATTCTCTATGTTTTCAAGTATTTTTTTTTGCGTATTTGGGGATTTCCAGTGATGGCATGAAATCTTTGAGACCTGAATTCTCAATTTTGATGACAACTACAAGCAATTTTTCTGAGGATTTTCCCCATTGTTTTTTAAGGCTGACATTTTTTCAACTGTTAATATTGATCTATTATGTTAGGTTTTAAAGATGTGTTCTACTAATCTCAAAACCAGCCATTTGAATGTAGTACAACTGATTCACCTGTTGCAACATGTCAACCACCCTTATTAATGGAGGAACTTGGGTGACAATGCTACGCACTTTAACGGAGCAGAACATGGTGGTGGACAGGCTTAGCAGGGAAAGCCTCAATTGCTGAAATTTTGGAAGACCAACATTTTTCATAGTTCCTCTACTGTTTTCAAGTAGAGTAGTATAGACATTTGGGAACTATGTATGTACTCAAGAAAGCTTTGAATTTTTGTATCTCTTTGTTAAAACTACTTAATATGATGCCTCACAATTTATATTGGTAATCTATTTTGATTCAATCATTATGACCAAAGAGTGATGCATATGCAATCTTCTATTTTGTGAAGCTAAAATTTTTATTCAAAAGGATGTTGAGGTTTGTTTAAACATTTAACTTTTAGGATAAAAGGATGTTGAGGTTTGTTTGAATGTCATATAACAAGGAGACTTTAATAATTGTAGTGGTTACCAAAGTAGTCAGTTCCCCTTCCAATTTGATATAAACCATTATTCACAAAATATATTTAAGCATTTAAAGAACATGTAACAAACGAATTAATAAGTGGATGAATTAGCTGTCCTCTCTCATGTTGGTCAGAGCTCTACCTTTATATCACGTGATGGATGGATACTAGGCATCTCTGGTGAGAGAATGCAAAACTACGCTTGTCGATTTGAGTCGAGCTAACTTTTGATCGAGGACTATTCATGTAAAGTGTTTGTAGCATCAATTTCAAAAAACTGTGTTCATCTCACACAAAACAAAATATCAAAAAACATAAGGTGTCAGGTTATATCTATCTCTGCTCCTTGATCGAACAAAAGCCGTTCAAAAGCCACTAATGCAAAGCATGAAAACATTGACAGCTTTGGATGGGATAAGCAGATATTGGTTCTTGCAATGGCCTGCTTTATACAAAAACTCTTGACTCTGCAACAGTCCAAATAGGCACTAAAAAGCTATTGAAATTTGAATAAAATGATAATACTCATACAGCTTGTCCATATGTCGATAAAACTCTAGAATATTTCAGATGAAAAAAAAAAACTTAGAAAATAGATTGCCTCTGTGAAGCTTTCTTCCCAAGGATTGCCTCCCAAACCACTGGCAAAAATGGCCCTTTCTTGTCCAAATATTCCCGAACAGCCTTATCGTCAACGATGAAGCCTTTTTGCCTCACCGTTTTAATCATGTTTTGGGCATCTTCAAGACTTTTCTCCTTGCAAAATCCATCAACCAAAGTCACAAAGGTCACCACGTTGGGGGAATGTCCAGCTTCCAACATTTCCAAGCAAAACTCAAATGCATCATCTAATCTGTTGCCCTGACTGAGCCCGCGGATTAAGATACCGTAACTAAAAGCATTAGGAATGATGCCATTACCTTGCATTTTACGGAAAATCCTCACAGCATCATCAAATTTTTGGGCTTTAAAAAACCCATCTACCACGGCAGTGTAGATAACAACTTCAGGTATTGTACCCTTTTCACGCATCAGACCAAAGAGCTTCATCGCTTCCTGTACCAAGCCGTCCTTGCAAAGCCCATCAAGCATTGCTACAGCATTTGGTATTAGGCCAGTTTCTTTCATTTTCTTGAATATCTCATCAGCATCTTCTGGTGGAGCTGGAGGTGCCTCCGAAACAGGAGAGTCGCTACTTTCACCTTTGGGGTGGAGTGCAGGGTTTGTGTTTGGGTTTTCCTCTTTACGATCAAATCCAAGCTGAAATCTTTTCAGAAAATCTTCACTATCCTGAGACTTCATTTGACCTCCATTGTTCTCACCAGATCTTCTAAGAGTTGTAGAATGGGTGGGGTTGTTGCTGGAATCAGCTCTTAAGGGCCTTCTGAAATCATCTCTTAAGGGCCTTCTGGAATCATCTCTTAAGGGCCTTTTGGAATCACCTCTTAAGGGTCTATTCGGTATAGGATCAGGAGGAGGAGGATAGTTGGACTGAGTGAATTCATCAGAGTAATTGCTGTTTGAGCTGCTAAATGAGCGTATTTTTGTTGAAGGAAGTATCTCATCTACATTTACCTTAGGACAACAGAGACTGCTGTAATATTTCCTATAAATGCTAATACCCTTCTGTCTCACTAATGTTGTTCTCATAATGCTTATATACTCGCTTCGAAACAACACAGGCTAGTTTTTCAAGGCAGCAAAGATGGCTTTATCCTGAAGATCAATAAAATAGAATTTCAGCTCAAAAAGTATTTTATACAGTGCATTCAAAGACAGCATAGCACTCTTATGCACTTTCTTTTACTTTTCACCCACAGAGAGCAGTGTTATAAAAAATTGGATAGAAGATTTAACTACATGTAATGAGAGTATAAAAATGATGATACCGACGATAATAGAATACAAGAGCACGTGAAGCAGCAGTGGAAGATAAGACAGTAATAGTAAAGGTGTCAGAAATCAAAGGCTAAGACAGAAAATAAGCAATACAGCAGCTAAGGGCACAACATCAGTCAGCTATGTGCCAAGAACAGATAAGTTCACACAGTGGCGGTGCCACCACTGTCCAGGGGGTTTCAATTGACACCCCTTTGCAGGGAAAAATACATAGTGTAGTATATACGATATGTTGAATCCGTTTATTGGCTTCTTTGTGTGTTTACTTCTTAATAGTTTGACTCATTTTAGAGAATTCTTGGCTCCACCACTGAGTTCACGTTTTACAAAAACATGAACATGGACAATACCAACATAATATCTTGAAAGTGTCAGAAATGAAAACAATAACTTCTCGTTCCATTTTTAAAACTACAACTGACTAGTATACACTTCATAAACCAACCGATCAACTACACCTCAGTTAGCTACACAAATCCATTCTACTCTATTTGAACTTATTTCATTCCAATACATATATTGTGTCTTCTAATCTCTCATGCTCATTTTAATGAATTAATGATTGCTACAAAACTATCCGTTTCAATTTCGTTATCTTATCTTCCCTTTAAACCTGACCCCAGTTAGTAGTGCTCCATTCTTTAATTTAGATAGTTGTTATCTTTTCCCTTTTGCTTTACAAACTCATTTTTTGACTTATAAATATAATTTATTTTTTCATATTATGTTTTGGCCCTATTTTGTTGCTCTTATACAGCGTATACAGTGAGTGTATATCACTGATTATTGCTGTATATCTCACGTATATGGCTGTATAAAGCGTGTATACAACTCTTCTCTTGAACACCTGTATATCAACTTTCGGGGACTTATTCTTCAATTCCATTGGTTGGCTGACTCAATGAAAGCAAATTTGGGCCTCTATGGCTCAATTGGAATGAAAAGAGGAATGCTGTGGAGTTCGAAGAACTCACCCAGGGTCGCATGAAATAGAACGAAATGGATTAGCTTCTACTCATAAAGATAAAATTTATAAATAATCTAAGTAATCACTTAGAAAAAGCAATGCAGATCAACACACTTCAACAGCAACTATAAGTCATATAACACAAATTTTTACTCCCAGATTCAAGGGCTAATTAATCAAACTTCCCCTTCCCCCCAAAGACGCAATTTCTAGCAAGTTAGGCACAATGAGCTACTGGAAGACAAACACTTAACTAATTCCAACATTTCAAAGATAATGGAAAACATATAAGTAACACAATAACCTAACAACAATAATTCATCTAACTTGAATTTGAAAAAAAACATAAAAGCAGTGCTTTACATACGTTTCATAGGACTAACAGAACCCCTGGAAACAGAACTTCTATTCAAGAAAATACACAAATTAGACTAACCAGTGACCACTTACTAGCGAGTAGCAACAATAACAAAAAACATCCATACCAATCCAGGCCCGCAAGAACACCAACTTTTCTGCAAAAATATGAGATGGCTTATGCCTCGGCAATAGCAGTGCCATCACTTTGACAAGAATTCTTTGAATTCTGGTACCAAAGAAGGTTAGCTGTCAAATGGAGCACTCTAAATCTCTTGATGTAAGTCAGAGGAAACAAAGCACATGATAAAGCAATGCGACTTGCAGACGACTATACAGATCTCTTTGTTTAACCCTATTCCATGCCTTTTAAGCCAGTTAGATAAACCTGTGTCTGAATGATTGTACTCCCAATTTTAAACCCAGGCACCACAGTAAATCCCACCTTTGGCCTCGTCTTGCTCAAAGGGAATTGAATTTTCCTTGTAACATCTTCCGTGTAGACCATCGAGAAGTCCACCCCTCTCTCAACTTGGAATATCTCAACTACAGGATTAAATGAGTATGCCAACTTATGAAGCAGCCATATTGTACTAGCCACCCTTACAAACGACTCATAAAACACACTTAACCACTTCGACCCCTCACCCCACCCTCCTTCTCCAATTGAACCCAAATCTCCATCAAAAATAATTTTTGATGACTGTGGTGTCCAGGCCAGCTTTCATGCAATACAAACTCAATTTTGTATAAATAACTTGAACATACACCACGATTAACTCACTCACTCATCGGTTCACTAACTAATCTTACATCTAACTATCATCATCATTTAGCAAAAACATGTACCTTTACAAACAAAACACAAACCAATAACATATCAATCAATATATCCCAGAAAATTCATTTTACAGTTTCTCAGAACCCTCTCAACACTTCTCCCCCTCACCATCTCCTACCTCAAATCCAAAAACAAACGTCTACCGGAAAACAACACTTATTCAGTCATTTTGATCTTAAAAACAATTATCACCTAACCATTTAGCAGTCTCTATTCTTATCATCTGCTTCTTCGTACTCTTATGCTGAAACATCCCGCCTCTCTCATCCCGAGAGGCAATTCCCACACCCCTAATAGATAAAGGGGAGTGGGTGGGAGTCTGGGAGAATTCCATTGCATTCACTAAACATTACTCTCTCAGTCCCACTTTGTGTGGCACTTCTAAACAAAGGGAGGGTAGCTCAAGCGGAAAACACCCTCCACCTCCAACTTTGAAGTTGGGGGGTTCGAGTCACCAAGGGAGTAACGTGGAGAGGGATACTATTGACTCCCTAGGGAGAACAGTCGGGGCTGGTAGATGTTAGGCTACCATATAAAAGAAACTGTTCACCACTTTTGCTTATCAAGAATCAAATCGACTAATTCTCCGAGCCAAACGGGACAAAATTAATTTATTTTTTAAAGGATTCTAACTCAAATATTAGTTGCAATCCTCCTCACATCAAAATGGCAAAAAATATACAACATTTCAAAATAATGGTTGAGTTCACTTAGCTTGTATCTCAAAAAGCCAAAAGATCCATCCGTGATAGGTTA